GCCCGCGCCGCCAGGGCCGCCCTCCGCAGGGGCTGAGGGGATGAGCCGTGCCCCGCGCGGTGGTCGCTAGCGGAAGGATGACCACTCCCGCCCTGCTGCCGCTCTCCGGGCGGAGGCTGCCCCCCCTGAACCTGGGCGCCTCCGCCTTCCCGCACCACAGGGCTACCTTGAGACTCTCCGAAAAATTTATCCTGCTCCTTATTCTTAGTGCCTTCATCACCCTGTGCTTCGGGGCGTTCTTCTTCCTCCCCGACTCCTCGAAGCACAAGCGCTTTGACCTGGGCTTGGAGGATGTGCTCATTCCTCACGTGGACACCAGCAAAGGGGGCAAGAACCTCGGCGGCTTCCTCATCCACGGGCAAGGGCACGACGAGCACCGGCACAGGTAGGTGCCTTCCTCGCCGGTAAGGGAGCGGCGCTGCCGCCGTGGCGGCGAGCGGGTCCCCGTGGGAGCAGGACCGGGTGGAAGGGAGGGAGGTCCGTGGAAGTAGGTCCTTCCCGTACTGCTGTCGCTCCTCTCTCCGACATCCTCACGTCTTCCCACCGCGTACCGACTTCTGAGCCCCAGCCTTGCGTCCTCCAGCTGCCATGTGTAGCCGTGGCTCCGTGTTTTCTTTTCCAGCGTGCATTTAGCCTTCTGGCTAGCGAGGGCCGGGAGGGTAAATACGAGCTCTCCTCCAGCGACTGATGTATTTTTCTCCCCCTAGCCAATTCCCTGGGTCAGTCGTGGAAGAAAGGGGATTAAGTTACAGCATTTGTGGAGACAGTATAAGTGACTGAAAAACTGCTGCGTCTTTTCTATAGCTTTTATGTGCTTACTCAAAACAGCTGCTTGTTGCTGAATAGTGTAGCAAGAACTTTGATCTGATGAAGACTTCATGCTGTGACGCAGAGGCTGTCAGCCTACGATGTGCAGGACACAGAACTAGTGTAGGTGGCATAATTGCCCCTTCTGGCCCTTAAAATCGCTTGTTATAATGTTATTCCAGACAACTGGAGATGCCGGTGGCTAAGTTCCCTTAATTGTGGTTGCCAGTGTAAAGACATTGCAGATAAAATAGTAGTTAAGAGTAACAAGGGTAAATGTCATGCTGTTGATTGCTTTCTGGAGCCACCTAAAGCTTTGTGTGGTGCAAGCCTCTAAATGTTCAAGACTGGGTCGTGTGAACTGAAGCCTTCAAAACTAAGATTCAAAAAACTTAAATGAGGGTTTTACAGTATATTTACTTCTAACATACGCTAATTGCTTAAATCCTGCCCTAGTGCCTGGATCATAGTGAAGCTAACTGATCTCTCTTCACTGTCAAAGATGGGTAAAATGTGATGATGACGGGTGGTAAAATATATGTTCTTCAATACTCGAATTAGTAATACAGTGAAATTTAAAGAAAGGTTACTTATGCTGGTAGCGTTCCTTGAGAACAGTTTAAAATATATCCTATTGACATGATATAAGAATTATTTAAAGATTATTTGTGCTAGATTAAAAGGAGAGGGTATAGTTGCCTCTTTTTATTAATCTGTTCTGAGTTATAAAGACTATCTGAATACTGTGGTATTTTTCCTTACGGCATCTTTGCTGTTGAATGTCTTGGGGCACTTATCAGCTCTTTCTCCCTAACTGAAAGGGCATGGGTGCTTAATATTTAACAAGGACTTCTTTTGTCTATGATGTTAATTGCTGGTGCGGTTAAATGTAAACGTTGCACAAAACATAGGTTTAGACACTCCCTAATATGCCTTTGAAGTTCTCATCTTTCACTGTCTTTTTTGTGTGATCTTATTTCTTAGCTTTCACAGTCACTCTGGTACATGCAGTCAAAATCAGGTTCTGAAATAGAAGACAGATGAAACAAAAAGAGGCGTTCAGCAGAAATTTTCAAAACTCCAGCTGTGACTGTTATACCTTGTATTGCCCAGTAGATGGGCCGTAGAAAAAGGAGTTTGTTGATACTGATAGTTCTGGAGTGATGCTCTTGATTAACCTACTTATGTGGGTCCTTTTCACGTGTCCTCTTTAATTACTGAGGCTACAGCTTCAGTAATGGTATGAAGTGCATGCTACTCTTGTCTGTCATGTGTAGATAAGCAGTAACTTATAACTGTTGGAGCTAAATGCATTTTGCTTGTTTGGGATCTGTTCTTTAAAAGAAGTGGTTATCCTGTCGTCAGTTAACTCTCCTATGGTTCCTCCATAAGCTTCGGATGTGGGTACCCCCCTCGCCATGCCCCCCTCCCTCCCAATTGTCCCTGTCATGTACAGTTTTTTTATGGCCGCCTTTTGGGTTGTTATTTGAGCAAGAATAGATATTATTCCTGTTGTTTTAGCCCTGCAAGCCATTGGATTGCTCCAAGCATGTCTTAACTACTAAAAAAGCCTGCCTGCTTAACCTGCTTGTGAGACACTTGTGTGAATGCCACAGTATGCATTGTGAAGCAAGGTTATGTGCTTTACTTCTGGAGCGACTTTTTTGGCTTATTACCACATAGTCTTATCAACAGGCTATTTGCTAGCCGGGTGCTGATGTGGTGACTGTTTTCCATAAAGGAGAGGACAGAAAGGAACTGCTATTTTCAGTGCTGGGTTCCTGCTTCTGCATTGCAGGAACGTTGATAGATGGTGTTTTGAGAAAGTAAAGGGTCTTCAGTAGTGAATTCTAGATTACTTGTTATGTCAGTTTGGGATGAAAAACTTTGTTCAGCTTACTATCAAGGAGCAAAGTCAAGTGTCAGCTACTCTATAGGTGATGTTTTTTGGATGGCACTGAGGAGTTATGGTGCAAAAGATCAAGAGAAAATAACCTACTGGTAATACAAGGGAGGAGGCGGTCTAATGTGTGAAGTGTGATTGATGGATTGACAAGCTGTCTTTCCAAGAATTGTGGGACTTCAGAAGAAATCAGATGACAGGTCATTCATATGAAGTATACCCCTGATCATGAAATGACAGGTGTGTTGATTTAGTGACTAAACGAAAGGGTTTCTTCTGTGAATGCTGGTATTGACCTCTATCAAACAGTAAAAACTACGTATCATGGTTATGCTGCTCCCTTGGTATATAGGCTATAATATTTTAATGCTCATTTTTCCCTACCCCTTAAATTTTGAGCTTTGTAGGTTATTGGAGGATATTCATATGTCTGTCTTCTAGCAAATACAGCAATGACATAGGTAGAGGGTTGTCACGCAGCCATGCTTTAGTGTTGGGTGTACAAACAATGGTTCTCACTGGACCTTCTCTGTATTCCTCATATTGCTTTCCCACCTCTTCCCCTGAGCCCCTTTGACATTCTTGGGTGTTTTTATTATTGTTACAGTGGTTACCTCTTGGCAACATTCACTTTACATCTTCCATTAACCTGTTTTTTTTTTTACCGCTCCTGTCTTTCTTCCCTTCTCCCCTTCCAGACAGAAAAAGCCGGGGGGAAAACTCCCTTCCTGGTAGCCTGTTCGAGATTTACAGTGTCCTTGCCTATCATCCAAAGAAAACCAACTTTCTTGTAAGAAGATGGTTAAAATCTGGAATAAAACTGCAATTTATATTTTCGGAAATGGATGGGCTGTAGTGCAAGTTAATACTCATTTTTAGCTGTTCATTTCATGGGTAAGCTCTTCGTGTGCACTTGCAGGATAATGCATGGGGAATGGGTTAGTAATGTTGGAAAGGTGTACCACAAAATTTTGCCTCTGGGAGGAGGGAGAGTGGAAAAGGCTAGTCCAAGACTTGTGAAGATATGTGCATACGCATGCTTTTTAAAAATCAATTTCACTTCCCAAAGATGAATTTCTCTCTGTTTCAAACAGGGTATTGCAGAGATTCTGGAACGAGAGCAGCACAGTTTTGAAGACACATCTTGCCAAACTTGTGTGTCACTTAAAATTTGTTACACAGTTTTAGATAACTGTCACTTCTCCCAAACTTCTGCATCTCCCCTGCCACATGAAAACACTTCAGGTGTTTCTCACTACCCAGTTACTTTCCAGCTATCTCAGGTATTTTATTCTTTGGTACCAAGTCTGAAAGATAGCTTTGGAACCAAAGCAAAGCATTCTTATGGTTTCTTGGCATATAATGTAAATGAGTGAGAATGCAGATGCCCTGTAATCTCCTTGATTTATCAGATTTTTTTAAAATAAGATTATCTGTAATATGGAAATTGAGCAGACTTGTCTCTTTAATGGTGTGTCAAGCAGCTGCTCTTTATATTACTTGACAAAAGTTAAGATCATTTCTGTGGTAAAAGTACATTAATCTTAGAGGCAAGGAATAATGTAACTTTATGAGCTCAAAGCTGCAAAGCCACTCTGTAACAGCACTTGGACTACTGTTGTGCCAACAATTCAGTTCTTCAGAATTTGCAGAGCTGCATCTTCAGCTGCTAAATTCCTGTGTATTACTTCAAGTCATAATTCCTCCTGTGCTAAAAAAAACCCACAAACAACCCTCATGTCATCAGATTGATAGCAGGTGCTGCTAATACAACTGACCACCTCAGCTGCCTTGGCCTCTGTGTGTAAGTAGGTATAGATCAGTGTAAATTGTGCCTTTGACTTTGTTTCTGTGAAGCTAAGGAATATTGACTTCTGTGTTATGCAAAGATACAAGCTCAGCAGTCTGATATGACCAGTTGTGGGTCAGCAGCTGATGGCAGTAGTCTAAAAGTGCTCTTTCTTCTGATGCTCAATATGTGGTTGTCTCTGCGGCAGTAGCAGCTGCTGTCTCTGCTCTTAGGAGGTGAAAGTAACAAAAATGATTCTGAAGAGTTTTCATTCTTAATTTCTTCTTTTAAATCCTGCATTTTTTTTTTTAAGAAACATGAAAGGCTTAATATGCTTCTCTTGAATACCTTTATCTTCTCTGGTCTATATGACTTAATTAGCCGTAGTAGAAGTGGGCAGAGGAGATAATTTAATCTCTATTACTCAGTGGGATCAGTGTCTCCTGTCATCCTCTGCCATGCCATCAAGTATAAAAGTGCATAAAACTCTTTGCTCTTCCTTCCCCACCTTTACTTGAGGCACAGCTCATTAGTGCAATTAAGAGTGTTTGCTATTGTGGTTCAGAGAACCTGTTTTTTCCCCTGAAAAATCAGGACCCGCTGTAGCACCTGGGCCCCAACTCCTACCCTGTCCAATTTTTCGCTGCATGAAATTGAGCCTGTCTTCAGAGCAGACTCCACAGTCTCTGTGGAATGTGGACTCTGAGTTTCAGCTGAGGTGCTTGATCTAGAAGCAAGGGGTTTTTAGGGTGCAACATGCAGGAGATGCAGGTCCTCATGGTGACACCTATGGAGCTGAAGAGGGCAGAAGTAGTGCATTCCAAGTCAGGGCTCAGAAACATCTCGTATGTATAGGACAAAGAAGTTGTAACTGTCTGGTGTCAGT